TTGTGTCTATGTCCAGAAGTGGCTGTGTCAACACCGTGATGCTTTTGACGCTCATGGCCCGAATGATGAAAAGTTGTTCACAACCGAATGGAGCAGCGACAGCTGGACCATCGAAACACCTTCAGGAACATCCTCAACATCTTCGAGTGCTGGTGGGAAGGGCCCCCCGGGCGGAGAGCTGGGTTTGTTGGGGGTGGACAGCCTTGGAGGAGGGGATTGGGAGGAGGCGCCAAACAACTGGGCTGGTGGCTCATACCCAGTGGCCTCAATGCAAAAGATCAGGCCCGGGGGAGTTCCGATCACCAAGCTGCAGCTTCTTCGCTCTGTGCAAGCGAACTTGGCGGAGTATGTGAACGAGGAGATCGGGCATGGGGACGTCACCAATGGTGAGCAGGGCTGGTATAGTGGGGTGCTAGGCCAGGCCGTGTTGCACAAGGTGGAGGCTGAAGAACAACTCCTACAAAACCATCAAGATCAGGTGCAAGCATGTAACAAAGAGATGGAGGAGGAGTTCTTGGTCACGAAAACTGTGAGCACCAAGGAGGTGATGGACGATTTTGAGAATTGGGTTCCGGCCATTCAGGCTGAGTACACGCAGCTCGTCCAGACCAAGGAAGCGGTGCAACAGATCACGAAGAAGGCCTTGCAGGCCAAAGCTGAGAACGAAGGCAAGATCATCGAAGTGCTTCCGGCAAAAATGGTCTTCACGAGAAAGGCAGGAGCTGGCGTGAGAAGGGCAAGAGCTGTTTGCTGCGGAAACTACTCAGAAACCCGCTTCAGCGAAGATTGCTACGCTGGAGGGGCTGATGGATGTCAAGTCCGTGCTCTACTCCGCACTGCAGCTTTGAAGTCTTGGTCGGTGGCCGCCACTGACATTCGTGTGGCTTTCCTCAATGCTCCAAGAAGGGAAGATGGAAAACTGGTCGCCATGGAAATTCCGCAGGTGTACAAACGCCTTGGTCTTGCCCGTGAAGGTGAAGTTTGGCTGGTCAAATTGGCGATGTACGGTTTGACCACGTCGCCACGGGATTGGTCTCAATATCGGGACAGGACTCTGCCATCGGTGAGCTGGGTTCGAATGAGGGAGGACAGAAAGGTCCGTGGCCACTTTCTCAAGACCGCCGATGAGAACCTATGGCGTTTGGAGGAGGAGGATGTGGTGTCCGGTGAGAGCTACTGGACTGGTCTCATGTCAGTCTACGTAGACGACATCCTGCTTACCGGTGAGGAACATGCTGTATCATCGGCCTTGACCTCATTGCAGGCGATATGGACCACATCAAGTGTGGAGTGGGCATCATCACAAAGCCCGGTCCATTTTTGTGGCTTTGAGATCAAGTTGGATGAAAAAGGAGATGGCCTCCATCTGTCTCAGCAAAAGTATGAGCAGGAGATCCTGACTCGATGGAAAGTGAAGGAGAGTTCAACCTTCCCCAACTTCAAGATTGCGGAGGAGGACTTCGAGGCTCAAGAAGAGACGGACATCAGACAGGTCCGTGAAGCACAGGCCCTAGCAGGATCTCTCCTATGGCTTTCGACAAGGTCAAGACCGGACCTGGCGCTGGGAGTGGCGGTAGTCAGCCGCATGATGACCAGGAATCCCAAGAAGGCGATTGAAGTGGCCCACAAGTTACTGGCCTATGTGAAGGGCACCCCTGGCGATCTTCACTACGCCGGACAGGTGCATCAGGTTTGGGGGGCTCGTGGCCAACTCAAGATTCCCCGACATGGGAAACTCGTGGAGGTTTTCGCTGACATTGCCTACGGCACTGGGTCAGGGCACCGAAGTACTCAGGGCTTGGCTATCTACTTCGCTGGAGCACCCATTGCCTGGCAGAGCTCTTCGCAGCCCTTCGTGACTCACAGTACAGCTGAAGCTGAATTAGTGTCATACTGTGAGGCCCTGACAGCTGGTCGTGCAACTGAAGCGCTGCTGTGTACTATGTGGGGGGAGGAGCTGATGAACAACAGCACCTTTGACCGGGTCATCTACGGTGACAATGCCGCGGCAATTGCTCTGGCCCATGGTAACAGTGCAGCTTCCTGGAGGACGAGGCATTTGAGGGTGAGGTCTAATTTGCTCCGGGAGGCCCTCGAGAATTGCAGCTCGTACCCTGGAGGAGCGTGGAAGTTGATGCACCTTCGTGGCACTGAGCTGGTGGCTGATGGACTCACAAAGCCGCTCCTGGGTCAAAGTTTTCAGAATTTTCTGTGTGATTTGGGCCTGAGGGTGGAGGAAACTAGTGTGAGGGTGCTTGGGGCGGAACGTCGACCTCCTCAACTACAAGATCAAAATGGGGCTGATCGGCGACATCCTCAAGTACCAGATCAAATGGGGGCACTTCGAGCCTTAGCAGCGGGTAGCGTGCTCGCGCATGTGGCGGAGGCGCAAGGGGATGTGGAGAAGGACTCAACCATCGGGGCCTTGTGGATCTGTGGTTTGATTTTGATCGCCATAGGGGCAATCTGGGTTTGCAAAGCTGTATGTGCTTCGGCATGCTGCTGCTTGCGACGATTGCAGAAGGTGGTCATCGAGCCGGCTGGTTCGCAGAGCCATAGCGAAGGGGATGAGACGGATGCCACTCCGACCCGGCCACAGAGAAGGAGATCGAAGAACCAAAGTTCAGCGGTCATGGATGAAAGCTCTCCTTCGACCGAAGGTTTGGATGAGTCAGGAACACCTCCTGAAGCTGAGTTGCGCTTGAGAAAAAGGGGATCAAGGGCGCGAAGCGCGGAAGGCTCTATGTCCAGGCCGAGCTCTACGCCATTGACATCAAGGCGACAGTCGGGCTCGGCAAGCAGGTCTTTGTCGCGATCCAAGGGGTCGCAAGCCAGCGCGACAGTGACCGATGCAGTGAACTGTGCGGCTGGTGGAGCGGAAAGGGCGGCGATGAGCGCTGAGATGGCCGCGGCAGCAGCTGGGCGTGCAGCCGTGAGCGCTGAGCGAGCTTCGATGCTCTTGCACCAGGCCTTGACAGGCCCTGTGACAAAACAGTCACCTTCGAGGCACAGTGGAGTGCCCATGAATCCATGGAATCGGTTTCAGCAGGAAAACGCTGGCCGAGGATGGACAAAGGACAAAATGCGTGCAGAGTATTTTCGGGCAAAGTGCCACAATACCCTGCCTTGAGCCACGGCATTTTGCCAAGAATCTCTCCACGCAGTTTCGCTTCCGCGAAAGGGGGAGTCTGACGGTGAGACCACCGCGCACAGGCATTTTTTGTCCAAGAAGAAAAGGGGTGAGGTTTTTGTCGAGACAGTCATATAGTAGTATGTTGTCTTATACTGTAATGTTTTGTGCTTAAACATTGCGGCTCAGATTTTGCTGTTGAAGTTTGGATGTCCTGCGTTGAGTCTCTCTGTGTTCGTATTTACAATGCTTTGGCCATTACACCCTTTACATCCGCTAGAAATTCCAGCAGTTAGGGGGGCATGAGATAGGATTTTTGTTAATGTTTCTTTTTTGATCCTGTGTTCCTTTTGATCCTGAGTCAAAAAGGCACCACAAATGCAACCAAAGCAAGAGGAACAAAAGCGAAAGACTACAGAAAAAGCCAGCAGCGACACGGGTCAAAGCAAAAACATCCCGGCGGAATCATTGCTGCCCCACGGTTTTGTTCTTTTGAGGTGCTGCAGCTAAGCCCGATTTCTGAGATAGCAATCTGAGGTCAAACAAATGTTGTTTTTTAATCCTTGGTGCAACCTTTACAGCACTTTATTGTCAAAAAGGTGCCCCTCCGGTGCGTTCGTTTTCTGTGTTTTGAGTACATTTCGGGGAAAACAACACACAGACATTAGATTTTTCGATGACCGGGAGTGAACGCATGTCCAAGTTGACACATGCAAACATTTGACCACAATCGGCAATTGTCTTTCCAAGGGAGACCCCACTGCAATTGCACTTCGCGTCACCCCACCCAATTACAGTTCTGACCGTCAATAAGTGTCCATATAACTTGTGTCAACGAGTGTCCATGTCACAAGTTTGTCGCACTTGTTGTTGTTATAGGTAAGTTTGCGGACATTGGAGAACTTCCGGTCAATGCCCTTGGTTGCAAGGGGTGTTTTCAGCGTTGCCAGAGCACATAGAGCTTTTGAAAGTGCTTTGGGAATCCTTGTTTCGACATCCGTGTTGGCACAAAAGCAAATGCTGCAACAGCAAAACAATCTACACAAAAGAACTATATAACACTAACACAACGTCAACAAAAGAAAAAACAACACAATACAATATAGAAAAGACACAAACGCAAACAAAAACCACACAAAAGCCACACAGCAACTCAAGCAAAAGCACAGCAAATGCGAACACCACAAGTGATCACACATGTATATAACATATAACACAAATATATACCAGCTTCTTCAAAGTGACCTTTTGAAGGTTCCTAAGTGACCCTTAGGAGGCTTAAGTGCCCTCAAACCAGGTTATCAAAAGGTCACTTTGAAGAACCAGGTGCAGGAAGGCAACAAAAACAACCGGTCGCTTCACAAGACAAGGCCAAACACAAGGAACGCAGCAGTCGACCAGCAGTCGACCAGCGGCGGGTCACCAAAACACCCGACCCTCTTGACCCATGCCGCATGCCCCTGTGCTTCGTGAAACTCTACTGTGCAAGTTAGGAAACTGAATTCACTGAATGGGATACAGGACACCAAATGCACTCAGGTCCTGAAGGACCATGGTTCTGACATCTCAGGTCCTGAAGGACCATGTCAGGTCCTGAAGGACCATGTGATTTGCAGTGTTTCTGCCTCTCAGGAGTATGTTGGAACCAAGGCACTGGCCAGCCTTGCTCGAGTTAAGAGCGAAATAAGCACACACTGAACTGAACTGCTGAAAGGCAGGAATCCGTAGATATATTTTGAGTTCACTGACTAACTTCCTTTGGCTTCTAGTGCTTCTTACCCAAGACACCAGAGGTGCCTTTCCCATCCAACTGCCCATCCAAGCAAGTGCACGTCCTCGCCGACGTCCTCGCGCGACGTCGACGTCCTGCCTTTGGGCTGTATTCAAATCCACCAGCTGTGCATGGGGCATGGCCACATTCACCGGGAAGCTGGCCGTGTAAGCCGGGGCCTGTCCCGGATCTCGCCGCACGAAGTGGGCAGGGCACTCAGCTCGGGGGGGAGAGAAGAACCAGCAAGGAATGACATCCGAGGAGGAAGGGAAGCTTTCGGCAGCCCGAGGAAGGAATGTATGGACAATGACTTTCAACAAAAGCTCGCGCACATGGGCAGTTGCACAAAACCCTTTATCAAGATGCAGACTTGGGTCTAACATAATCGTCAAACACTACATACCCTCTCTTTTATCGTGCACATGACCTCATCCGGAGCTGTACCCTCCACAAAAATTCCCCCAACAAAATCATACCGCATACTCCATCCATGGTTTTCAACATTGAACAAAACGCCTGTTGTTCACCATCAGTGTAGTCTATAGTGCAACACCATGTGCAACACCATCACCATGTTGCACTAGACGTGTCGGTCCATGAGAATCACCGGCACCGACCGGCACATGGAGACGATCACCCCCGACTTGAGACCGCCTGCCCGTACATTCCAAGCATTCTCCGAGGGCCCCGGCATCGAGTTGACCTCCCACGGTGTTGTAGATTTCCACCTATTAATGGCGCGCTGGAGAGTGATGCGGGGATGGCGGATGAAAAGCCTTGCTATTTCGGGGATGGCTGGCTCTTGAGAGTGGGGTGCTTGGTCTACACTCCAACTCACGAACATGGTTTACGTGGATGGCATGGCCCCAAGTTTGGAAGACGACTTTCGTTTAGGTACGAACAGGGGATGCCATCCACGTCACCACGTCAGTGAGTCCCAGGCAAGATGACTTTCCTTGCCATTCACTTCGATGCGATGCGTTGGAAGGGTCTCTTCTCTCAAACGATGGAACTCGCTTCCCCAGTTCCCGAACTAGGGTTCCGAACCGCGGTCCTGCTGAGTCTGTAGGACAAGAACCGTGAACATCAGTGGACTCATCTTTCCACCTGGTGGATTTGAGCTTTCCACCTGGTGGACCGAGCTTTCCACCTGTTGGACCAAGCTTTCCACTTTCCACCACCTGTTGGATTCAAGTGGGGTGTCCCCAATCCACTGAACACCTGGGGTATCTTGCTTCGATTACAATTGGCTACAACCCCGTTTCCCCCCACCGGCCGGGCCCCGGCTGATCTTGACCGGGTTTGGTCGGCATCACCTGGTACCATAGAGGAGAAGTATACGAGCCTACTGTAACAAACAGAATCCAATCTTCGCAACGTTTTGTTGGGATCTCTCTACATCCTAGTCGTGCCCCATTTCGACATCCCAATATTAAACCATTATTGTATAGTATTGTCATATAGCCAATAACAAAGATGGAGGAAACACACACACATATATTAACCTGCAAATGGCATCAGCCTGGCATCTTGATCCTACTTGGTTCCCACCCCTTGTGACATCCACGCGACCGGCCATTCTGACAGCCCTGCCCTTGCGACATCCACAGCCTTCCAGCAGTTCTCATGCCCACAAGGCGTGGCATGTCCAGTGCGACTGGTGAGAGGCTCATCCTAGGCCGTCGAAGCGCACGTGGCGGCACGTGGGCGGGTGTCGTGGCACATGAAGCGGCACATACTGCCCTGCCTTCCGAAAAGAACACATGGAACCCAGCCAACAAAACCCACTGAGTTGCTCTTCGGAAAAGGGTCGAAACCAGGGGTCCATTCTCTGGTTTTTAGGACCCTCCAACAGGTTCAACCGGTCACCACCTGCGACTTTGAAGTCTACAAAATAGCCTCCATTTCGGAGATCTGTTGGAAGGTGCTGGTCTATGTTTCCAGGAATTGCATCGCCCGTCCCTCCAGAAAACCAGCAATTGACATCCTGTGACATCCAGGGTCGGAATCCAAAAACATCCACTTAATAACAGTGACTGCAGTGATCGAAAAAGACCCTCAACTAAAGCCCTCCAAAAAGGCCGAGAACCTTCGAACAACTGAAAACCTTCCTACCACTTAGAGATTCTGATTCTGAGACAAATATATGACACTTACCATTTGAAGTCGCTGTTGGATGATAGAACTGAGCTTCGAAGATCTTCTTTCATGTCCCACATCAGGATCATTCCAGCCAGTCACTCCCACCATCTCCTCTTTGAAACCAAGCTTCAGGATTCCACACGTCCAAAGCAAATCGGATCACTCCAGCCACGAGCTCTTGGCTCTTCGGCCTGGACGTGAAGAAGAAAAGACTCAACGGAGGACGGAGGACGGTGGTCTTTCTTTCTCCAAGAAAACGACCTTTCGGTCTTTGGGGATGGGATCCAGAATCCAGGATCCTCCTTTCACCGCTTGCGCCAGCCCTGCATGGTGGAGGAAGGGCGGGTCCCTCAGAACTGTTCGGCCTTTTGGAGTCCCTTGATCCTTCCGGCAGAACATGCGCTGCTCATGTGGCACGGCCTCAAGGTGATTTCTCCGGCAAATGCCTCGCACACCAAGGTCTCCCAGCCAGAGGGTGGCGCCTCCCCTGCGCACGAGGCCGAGGCTACCATTTCCAGTGCCCATGAAAAGCCAAACGCCTTATTTTATAGGAGGAAACATGAGGAACATATATAAAATTATATGTGTGTGTCTGTTGGAAGGAACCGACAGTTCGAAAAGTATCCATCAGAATGCTCTTGATATTGTTGGTGGAAACCATCTAGAATAATAACACTCAGGCTCCCATGTAGGACGTCTGCCTTCCAGAGTAGAACTCCTCTATACAGGAACCCCCAACGACAAACATGCTTGGGGCTCCAAGGGGGTTCATTCATGGGACACCTTAATAAGTTCTCCAAACACAAGAAAACCAAATGCCAAGTCTCAAACTGTTCACCTCTTCCTCTGTCCGGCCGAAAAACAAACAATATGGTAATATTGTATATTTTACATTATTTTACTTTGTTGTGTATCATATACATGTATAACTTGTGCGTCTTTGACCATGTTTGGGCTTGAAGGCCTTCCCAAAGACATACCTAACCCCATTACCATGGGGGGGACATGCAGGTCATTTTATAGATGTAAAATGGTGGACCCAACCACCAAAGGGCAATATCTTGAGCTACCTGACCCAAATCACATTTATATAAAATGACTGGACCTGACCACAATTTTTGCCACTGTGTAGCTGCAAAATCTGCTCAGGATTTTGTCTTATGCTATCTATCTTATGCTTGATGACAAGTTTCATGCCGCTTGTATTCAGCCAATAAAGGACGGTCATGTTTTCACACGCATTTCCACAATGCCGGTTTGCACCATGAAATGTCTCTGCATAAAACCCCACTCCTCTATAAAATGAGTACCTGACGTGCACAGTGAGGGGGGCCATAAAACGTTTTATAATAGGGTTGACCCACCCCAATTTCATAGAGGAAATGGGGTGCCCTATCCAAAGACCTTTCATTGATCTTTATCCTTTCACTTGTGTATACTTGTGTTGCATTTGGCCACTTGGTCATCGATCACCAAATTGTTGGATTTAAACTATAAACTAACACCAAACGTTGCACCCCAAAGAACCTTCACAAAAAATGAATACTCCAAATGCGCGGCGTATTGTTGTCCTTCGCTTTCTTTCCAACCAATGATCTGATTCCTGATGACCCCCAGCATTAAAAAACATGAACATGACCATCTGATGGAAGACCTTCCAATTTCCAAGAATCTCATAGTATCTCATAGTCACGAAATGTCTCGAAACACCAATTGTTCGTATCTCCCCGCCGAAGAAACCATCTCACAGTAACCTTTCGAGCTTGGTATGATGATATGGCATGTCACTTCCCAAAGGCACCCAGCTTCATGGCGCCTGGAACTGCCAGGACCGAGCACAAGCTTTGAAAGTCGAAGACGCTGGGTGCGGTGAGAAGCAAACGTCCACCTGCCGTGGCAGCTCGGGTGAGGTCGGGTGAGGCCGGGGGCTCGGTTGGTCGGAGGCAACTCTGAGCTGGCAAGCAACGAGAATGCCCGAGCTGCCAATTGGATATATGATGATATTATAATATATTATATATGTTGATAATTGTTGATAAGTACGTTCCCAAATGGATAGAAACGGTTTCCAATATACATTCCAAGTGGGGATCTAATTTTCTATCGATTTTGGGGTCTATATACAAGTTGGCTGCTCTCAACATGCAGGAACTGTTACATTAGTTACATTCGGATCATCTCTTCCCAAATTGGCGCTTGGACCCCAAGTCTCCCTAGTGATAGAACTCGGCCGTATCTGGCAAACGCTGGCAAACACTTTAGACTTGACTCCAGTACCATGTCACAACATCACGAATAAACTCCACCAATGAAAGGTCCATATTGTAAGGTGTGCACCCGCTTTCAAATGGCACGAGACAATACACATTTGACTAACTGGACATGAATTATCTTCCTGAAAATGCATGATTTCAGCTGTTCAGTTCAGCAAGAATCTGAACCACTCATGGGCCCACGGGCAAATTCCAAGGAACACACCAAAACCAACTGTTGGGGTCCTCAATTGGCCAGCCGCATGGTTCTTTTTCAGGGACTTTGCCCAAATAGAGTCAATAGAGGGTTTTCAAGGCAGATCTTCCGGCAAACCGTTTCTACGATTATTCGATTCGGGTTGATCCAACCTTGACTGGCTGCCGGCCCCTCAGTGCGGATCGGCCTATGGGTATGTCGGACATCGTCTCCAGTGACACATAGATCCGCTGTCGAGCAGCAACCACGTTGGACAAATAGTCCACGCGGAAATTGATGATGCTTCGGACCTGTGTCGTTTCAGCATGTGGCCCAGGTGGCTGGTCAAAGGATTCCCATGATCCAAAATCTGCAGCCCCTCCAAGGGACCTTGTGAGTCTTGACAGTCTTTGTCAATCTGGATTCCTGGTCATTGTGGGAATACCCAAACCACGATGTCCACCTGGTCATCAAACACCTGGACCTTCGCACTCCAATCCTGGCCATACAACAGCTAACAGCTTGATGGGAAACATAAAACATACAGTAGCGGAAACTCGGCCAAGTCTAGCCAAGTCTATCCCTTCACCTCACAAAAAGGTGCCAAAGAGGGCGCCCCACGGCATGGCGGTGTTGGCTCGGGTGAAGCGCCTGACATTCAATTGTCCAACTCTTTGGATGGTGTCCAATCGGCTTCGTCGGCACACAAGCCGGTGAAATGTGATGCCCTCAGGTCCGCAACGGTCCAAAGTCCAAGCGGACCATGCACGCCTGTTCCATGGGCAGCACTAAAGCCAAGGGCCGTTCTGCCAGTGTGGCAGCGTCCCATCCAAACCTGAGAAACTCTCAGGTCTCTTCGTCTCATCTACCCCGGCAAGCCAAGAAAAACAGCGGCTGATCGGAGGGGTTCCTGAATTGAAGGCGTGCCAAAGCACCGTGAACTGAGAGAAACCCCCAGGATCCTGTTCGCTCTGTTCGCTCCGAAGCAAGTTGACTCACAGGGACCTGACTGATTTCAGAGTTGCTGTTCTCCACAAGATGGTGATGTGTATTGAAACAGGGAGACCCCCCCAACCCCTCAAAAAAATGGCAAAGTCTAGCAAAGTCTATATCTTGCCCTTCTTGTACGGGTCGAACTGGAAGGTCTCGTCATCTTGCGATATTTTACTACACACCCAGGAGAATCCATTTCAGCAAGTCCTGGCACCTCCATAAGAAGAGCGCCTCTCTGTGATAGACATCTGTTGAGTGAGTTGTGAACCCTAAGGCATTAAATTATATAAGTTAAATCTACAATATATCGCTATGCGCAGCCCCCCCGACCGATTCTGATCTCCCAACACAATTTCGGAAATGGCTTGGCCTGAAAAAAAACTGCAACACTATGGCTCCAACAGCCCTCCTGAGTTTGGGTAGCTCCGAAGCTAGTCACGCACCCCTTTCACATCCCCAACAACCTAGGTTCCCAACAACCTGCTAGGTTCCCCTATGTCACAGCCTATGTCCTTGACCAGCATGTTATAGCATGTTTTGTTGAATCCATAGGCCATACACGCCCTTGCTCTTGATTGACAGTATTCACTATCCTCTCTTGCCATTCTGCCATTCTACCTATTTTGGGCTCCCGACTCACAATTGGTATACCCTATAGACTCCTTGAAAGAACACCTTCTTCCTCCCAAAACACGGCGAAGCCAGCCCCTGTGCGCGCTGCGTTGACTTCGAGGCCGGGAGACTGCAGGACTCCGGCCGACCACATGGTCGCCACGGGGAAGCGAGGCACTTCCGTCGCCACCTGGCCGAAGTGCCGCATGGCGGACGGACCGTGTCGGTTTCCGGTGCGACCGGCCAGGTGCTGCAAGGGCGAGGCGATTGAAAACAGTGAAGCCTGAAGTTGTGGGTGGACAAGGACCATCTACAGGCCCGAAACCTCCAAGCACATTCCTCGGAAGGTCGTCAAATCCCACCCCAACATACCCCAACCAGCTTCTGAAGTGAACACATGGGGAAAAACGAAGGCACCGTGCTTCGGGTGAGTGGAAGGCACCGAAAGAACGATCGGGATGGAGGGATGGTGTACCTGGATCTTGGGAATGAACGAATTGGGCGTAGGGCGCCACCCGTGGCTTGCATGCCAGTCTGATCACAAGTCACAAGTCGTGGAACCAGAGTTCAAATCCACTCAGTCAGTCCAACTCCACAGTTTGACGATGTCGTTTACATAAAGACAAGTCTTTACTTAACGTTTAAACGTCTTGCCTTAGCGTTTCCAAGACCACAAGTTGCGAACTTTCGGGCTCTGCCCGCGCCAAGAAGGCCATGGCCATATGGGCCATCTTCTTGTCGCAGGGATTCAAATTCTTAGGAGTGCTCCATGAGCGGAATACTTAGCTCATTGACCTATGTTGACGACCCATGAAATTCGCCAATACCCGGCAGTCATACCCAGCATGGATTGTTCGGAAGTATAAACAACATCAAACAAACAAGAATCCCACCAGGCCCTCATCAGCAGGGGGCGCTCCATCAATAGCAAGCAGGGTTTGTATCCTCATGCATGCCGTTCACCACCCAAAAATGCCCCTGGTGTGGTGGGAGAACCGGCTCCGGCCACGCAAAAGAGCACCACACGCTCTTTAAGTCGAGGTACTGAAAAGCCAATGACTTGCCCGCTGCCATAGCTTGCCTGGTGTCACGTCTTCCGACTTCCGACTCTTCCGTCTTCCGACCGACCGTCGTCGGTGGGGTTCCGTTCCGAGCTGCGTCTTCCGTTCCGAGCTCGCTGCGCAGCTCCTGGTGATTGGTCTCCAAAGTCCGTCGCCGTTCCAAAACGAAGGACGTGCGGTGACCTGTGGGAAAGCCATCCATTCTAAGAATCCCGGGTGCCACAGTGGAGAATCCCAACCTGAGTAGATCAAAAGGATATGACATGATGTGAACAAGTCAATCTGGGGTCCATCCGTTTCCAACTTCAAGTCAATGATGAAGTGGTGAGACCTTGTTCTTCAAAGCTAAGGAGCCTCCAAGCCTCCGAGGTGCTTCTTGCGGGGCCAGCAGTGCATGATCATGCTAGCGGGCGAGCATGTTTCCAACATGTTGATGATCCTCATACAAACTCTTATAGTTTGTATATACAGTGACTCTAGTTAGAGACACTGGGGGCACCCAAAAATAATATATATATATGCATCTGACGAAGATTCTGGAAGTAGATGGAGTAAAAAGGTCTCGCGATTGTTCTTCTTTTGTTCCGTTCGACTTCTCTGCAGCACGAGACACTGCACTCCACAGCAGCGTGTTTTGGGGCTCCGCGTCATATGCAGCTGTGCCTGGAAATACGTGGGTGTCAGCAATGTCTGCATCTTTTGGAAGATCCTTTTGGAAGAAGTATCCCAAGTGTACATCAAGCCCATAGGGGTGTTCGGTGTTCCCCAACAATTCCGGCTAAAACCAAGTAGACTTGGGGGGAGTTGGACGCCCTATAGGACACGCAACAGGTCAAACAAGCCAGCAGCCCAATGGAAACTCATATGCATAGTCCGCCAAAGAAGCAATAAAAACACGTGAAAGCGAAATAACACTCTCCATATCTCTCCATACTCCACCAAAGAAAGCAATAAGGCAGACTAGCCCTCTCCAGGGTCATCCTGGACATGGGTGTCAAAAGCCTTCGACTATACCCTACCCTATACCTAAACAGGTCTCCAGCCCTCCAGGGCACGCGGATAGGAAGTGAGGTCTCCACTCCCAGCTGCCCCAGCTCCCCCTGCCTGACAGTAGACTTCCAGGCCAATCTGCTTCAGCCCCGGCCACTGAGACGGACATCCTCAGACAAACCGCCGACCAAACCGGTCCCATAATCAGGAACACGACAAACAGATCTCCAGATACCCTTAGCAACTGGAAACCACCTATACAGCCGATACACTCTAACTCACTAACATGGAGGTGGAAAACCACGGAACATCTACTGTTTCTAGGGGAAGCTAGTCTTCTTGGGGGCCATGCCATGGGCCTGTGAGTGAGTCATAGTGTAGCATGCTTGTGGCTCGTTGTGTTTTGACATGTCGACCACGTACATCATGGCGACACATTCATGGCGACACATGGCCATGAGCATGCATAAAATGTGCAATAATTTCATCCTGCAGATGGCCAAATCGACATCTTATATCCGAAAGAGGAGATTCTGTGCCTCCTGGGATCTTCCAAAACAATCTCAAACAGCCTACAAAATATTGTACTTGGGAGTAGTTAGTTGTCCCCATCCCAAGTGGCGTCAGTAGTCTCCTTCTTCCACCAACAGCAGGATGACTGGTCTACATTTCAGGTGGATGTGGACGAGAAGGGGTGTCCGTACTGTTGCCTGGATCCACAACTGCGACTTATCAAACCCCACAACCGTTTCGCCGATCGACAGTTGTCACATTGTGCGTGGCTCAAGCAAACGGCTCCACTCGCGAAGTGGTAGAGGGTAGACCCAGTCACCCAGGGGTAAGTAGCAGAATCTCTTTGGTTGTGCCACCGTCAAAGTCAAAGCATGTCACACGTCAAAAATCAAGCGTCTTGGCAAGCTGGAACGAGATTGGGTGATTTGAACAAAGTTCACACGAACTTGACATCAAGACACATCTATATAGATCTCCAGCTTCCCAGTCAGTGAACCTCCAAGGAGGCTTTAGTGACCTCTTTCTTTGGGATCTCAGCCTGGGTCACGAACTGAACAAGGCTGAGCTAGTTCAATGGAGTGACCGAGCTACCTGACTGAATGCCGGTCTTGGGCAACTTCGGGGAAATCCGGACACCATCAGAGTCCACACGCCGAGGACACCGACACCTGAACTTCCCCAAACCTCACCCGTCATCCATCTGCCGCCTCCAAGACACGACTGGAAGGTGGATGGATCCATGTTGAAACCAACTGGGCTGATGAAGCGCGCCGTTGCTGTAAAGCTCACAGTGACCTACAGCGAGCAGCTCGCTCGTGACGCCCGGCTCGAATAACACGGGCCGGTCCGAGACGCACTTGGACATAGTTGGACTAAAAAAAGAGATACCCCATGGAGGCACCAAGCCTTCCCAGCACAGCCCTAGAGGACTGACCTACATGATACATGGTGTTTAACAGGCGAATCGAAGACTCTGAAACCGTGAATCGAGGCTTTTCGTCCGCGTGGACGGTCGGAGACTCCACACAAGTTGGCCGCGTCATCTGCCCAAGTCAGCTGGGCATCGAAAAGGAGAAATGGTTTGTGCCCAACATGATGCCAACATGGTTACAAACATAACTACAACAAAAGCACAAAGTCAATGCCAAACATTCCTACCTAGCATTACCTAGTGCTTTTTGTTTGGGTCTGCAATGGTGACGTTTTGCAGCAGTGTAGGGGGATTTCCTTAGTAACAAATTGGAAGCAGCTGGTAGAGGGGTTTAAGAGCCCATCCGAGCCTATCCCGTACCTACAGATTGTGTTGCAGGTTCTGCGATGTCCGGCGATGTCCGGAGAGTTTCACAAATCTGGACCCCTGCAATTGGAATTCAGTGGAATGGGATGCGCGGATACTTAAGAATAAAGTCTTGACACACCACGACAAAGCTTGTACTTGCTTCGGGATGACAGCTGAAGATCTTCAAGTGATGAACTTCAGAGGTTTACATAAGTTTCAACATGATCAGTAGTTCAGTAGTGATCCACTCTTGTTCTCTTTTTCAGTGTATGTGTCTTTCCCCCAGAAAGCAACCAAACATCCAAACCACGAGCCCCCCCCCATCCGATCGCTCGCAAAAACGGGCGCGCGCGCGCGCCTGCAGGATGAGCGTGAGCAACACGGAGGCTCCGGTGACCGCACTGGGCCACAGCGAGGAGAGCGACAAGGAGCTCATCACCGCTGTGCCTCTTCGTGGAGCGGCGCGACAGGGGAGGACCAAGGGGTGGTTTTCACGTCCACTGCGGTGAAGAACGACGAAGCTTTGGGCTCAAAAGAACGGAAGATGATGATGTGCATGTGTGGCAAATGTGTTGTTTTTGTGGCACTTTTGGATCTTTTGGGCATGAGGATGCATGAGGCAAATCCAAGCAAACGTTTCAAGAACGCTCAAAAGGGGATGTATATACATGTTGATGGTCAAACTTTGCAGAATGCTAATGAATCAAACCTCTTTGGTGCCAAATGAAGTAAACCCCCTTGTGGATCTGCTTGTCCTGGGATATGTATCAAGGCTACCAATCATGCCTGCTTAGAAGATATAGGCTCGCGATTGGGAGTATCCGGCAACTCAGGTTTCAACATGTGTTGCAGGAGGGCCCGAACAACAGTTCGCGCCAGCGGCAAACTCCAAAAAAGGATCCGTTACAAACGACTTCATCGTGCTGTGCTGTGGCCGAATGCTGCACCCTTGAGAATCACATGCTAAGCTAGCTCTATAATGGATCATTATCCCCTATCGCCCAAAGGAGCTTCACATGAAGAAGAGTTTCACATGCACAAATCATATCACCATCTCCTGCCTTCTTGAAAGACGCCCCAGGCCAAACCACCTGGCGGCCAAACGTTTCGTGTGGATGTTTATCCCCAAACACCCCACCGTGCCCCGCAGAACGAGATCAGGTTGTTTCACTGAAATAGCAAGAATCAGTTTCTGAACAAACAAAACCGTTGTATTAGTATGAGTGATGGTCAAAATTGGTCAAATTAGTTTACTCAGTACATTTCTTTTCGCTGCAGCTCATGGCTGATAGATTTAGGGCTCCAGAATCTATAGGGTCTGTCAGCACCGTCAATGGTGCATGTGCTGTGCACAGTACCATCGATAGATTCAGTACTCCTTGGGTCCTTGGGTCTTACCAGGCCTCAGTGGATGATCATGGTTCAGTTATAGTTCAGTTGCAGGCCTCGAACAAAACCGATGATCATTGTTTACTGACTGTTACAGGTACTACAACAATAAGAGGACAAATAATAAGTGTTACAGTTGTAAGGACAGGTAATAGGACAAACATCCCTTAAATTCAGTACTTCCATCTCTAGGAGGCTGTCCGACATCGCATCCTTTTTGCGGCGGGCAAACGCCCGGAATCGTGCGCCGGGCGAAGAAAAGCGGGCGAAGCCGGTCATGCCGACCCATGGTCCTGGGAGTTCTGAAAGGGATGGTCCATTCGGATAGACAAATATATCTATGAAATAGAAGTAGATCCTTGATTACTTCCCTTTTGAAATAGAAACAAACGTTTGTCTGTTGTTCAGAACTTCCCACAATAGACCAATCATCTTCTGGCAGCACTTCCGTAGGCCAGTGGGGTGTTGCAACAGTGCAACAGGTTGCCACAGCAGCCTTTCTCTCATGCAACCCTTCTCTCACAGCAGGACTCAGCAACCACTTTGTTGCCAACAATTTGCCCAAAGACTTGCAAGTGTAAAGAAGCAAGCTCTAGCACACAATCATTAGTCTGTTCATGTCTGTTCATGTACAATAACAACACCAACGGAATGATCAACATCGTCGACCGGACCTTGGAGAGTAAACCTCGGTCCGCGGTTCTGTGTGTGTCCCAAAAGGGTATGACAGACAGCTCCAAAGAGATACCAGATATGATAGAAATGGTATCGTTAATGGTATCGTTAATATACCCTACCCAACCCAAAATGGTATCGTTCATCGATTGGTCTTTCACGAAATGTCACCTGTCGATGGTCAAACCACCTAAACCTTGATCTTTGCCCCTCTAGATCTGCCTCTGACCCCAAATCGGATGGCCGCGTCCGCACCCACATCGCCGCCGCCGGCACCCGTCCATCCCGGTCGGCCTTCTGGATTCAGCTTCGCTGGGTTGGCGGCGTCCAGTGGCCGGTCAAAGGCGTCGGTGGTCCAAATCTGCCAGGAGGCCTCCGCCGCCGAAGGCGTCGGGCGGTTTCACGTTCTTTGGGGCGTGTGGCACTCATAGGATGGAACTTGGAACCTACCTTCCAAGTTCAGGAAAATATGGGACAAATATGGACAAATGCCAGTCTTCCTTTGTGTTAAATAATGCCAATCGTTGTGTAGAGTTGTGCAGTTTGTTTGCAGTTTTTGGGCATGTCTTTTGCGTTGGCATCATGCCACTGTTGCAGTCTGAGTTGCCGAGTTGCCTTTATTTAATTTCTCGTGGTTTCTTGCAGAAATTTGTATTGCCCCTCCAAAGATATGAGGGACATTACGGGACCATCTTCCAGGCCGAGAGTTTGCATCTCAGCATCCCAAGCCTGCTGGAAAGCAACCGCTAGAATTAAGTATTATGCTCTTGAGGGGACGAATAATGATGAAACAATCACATGTTGCAACAAAGGCAACCAAATGCAACAAACACATGGTCTTCCATGTTGTTGGATGGGTATATGATTGCGTTTGCTTTCCGGGCGTTGGATCGTACCCATCTTCGAGTTCACCAGTTGAGGAGGGCAAAGTCATGGTCCCGGAGCATGTGATTTCCGACTCACAGCCCTGAGAAGTGGGAAATGACATGGAATGACACGGGAAAGGGAAAAACGTACCAGGAGAGCCGGCAGTGATCCATGATTGAATCAGTGCGCCTCATCGGTGATGCTAAACGCCGCTGGATTCTGAAGAGAAAGCTCAAAGCCGTAGGCAAACCTGGAGCTCAGACATTTGTATCAACTGGATGCAAATGTCTATATAAATCAAAAGGATCGACATTATATACCGTACCATACCGTCTCATACCGTACCTCTTTTGAGAAGGTGTTGGATTCAAAAAAAATGCCAACCTTCTGCGCCCTCGGACCCATACAGTTCCACCAAAGAGCACATGAGGCAATGCCAAGGCATGCCAAAGCTCAGAAAAGCGGGGCTGCTGAAAGGGAGTCGAAAACACGTCGAGTCGATGACATGTATCATGGAGACCTTTGACCCGCATCCAACGTTCCACCGGAGCGAGAGAGAGATAGAGAGAGAGAGAGATAATGCTTTGCATCCCCAAAAAACCTCCAGGAATTTCCCACACCCATTTCGCATTTTTTGCGGCAAAACAACTCTGGAAGCACAGGGTTCTCGAGCAAAATCTTCGCCGTGTTCAAAGATGTGCCTGGCGGAATCACATCGAGTAACAAGCAGGACCGTCTTCCCATCGTCAATGTTCGTCACCCAAAGTGCTGCAACTGCTCGAGGGATCCCCAAGTTTTTCGTGGAAAAAACACAAACACACACCACCGGCCACACAGTCCGGATCAATCCAAAATGTGTGTCACTCAATGTCAATGCCGCATTTGCAGCATCTTCATACTACGAGGAGACCCCAACAGGGGTGCCAATTGGTGGCTACCGGGGTGTTCAAGGCATTCCGATGTGAAAAGACACGAAAAAAAAAAAAGAGGACAAAAGACAGGCAAACGTCGGTGGCGGATACATCTCTGCAGAAACACCAAACAACACCAGAACCTCATTCGCTTTTGTGGCTGCAAGCCGTCTCCAAACCCACACGATCCCACAGGTGAACAGGACAACCTTGAACAGCTCGACTCAGATCCTATGGATATTCCTGAGTAATGTAGACTCCTGATTAACCACCCCACCCCCCTTTGGATTGTTATACCGGAAGAGTTTGCATATATCATCAAGAGTCTGCATAAGCTTCTCCGAGCACGCGGAGGCGTCGTGGACCGTGCTTTCGACTCGGCGCCTTCACAGCCATCCACGTGGGTGCAAAGTCCAACGCAACTTTGCACCACAGGCAGGTAGACCTTGCACGTCTGCGACGAAAAATAAAAACACAAAATAAACAAACAACGAGACTCGAGAATGTCAAAACAAATCAAAACAAGTATATACATTTGAGCCATCAATGCAAAGATGTGCAAACCACCCAAGTTTGTGATGGATACAAGGACATGTGTGTCCAATGCGTGTCCAACCATACGTTTTCTCAAGTCGACTCCACTGTTGTGGAAAGAGCGAGTTAATTTTTGAATATGTTTGTGTTGGGAACCTGTGTAACATGAGCAGCAGCAGCAACAGCAACAGCAACAGCAACGCAAAACAAAAGAAACACAAGCAACAAAACAAACCCAAACACCAAACACAAACCAACACCAAAACCAATAACCAACAGCAACAACAGCAACAACATCAACATGACGAAGTACTGATAGTTTTTTGGATCACATTGTCAGCGCTCGTTGAAACAATGTCGCAACTCCTATGATGAGGCATGATGCAGCATCCTGCTTGTCATTGGCGATGCGGTAGTAGGCCTGCGGCGACAAAATATTTGTTCTGATCATGATCGAGATCCATAGGAGCGATTCCGATCTCAGACTCGATGGTACTTGTTTTCGTCGCAGCAAATTGCTCTGAAACACGCAGGAGACGTTGGAACAACCAACGACATCGGCTAAGCTGTTCGATCATGTGCATCCATCAGAAGAAAGCTCTCTCTATCTTTGGAGAACAGGTCACCCTTCTTCTATTCAAAAGACTTCACAAGATTTTATAGCACCTTCGACCTCTCATGGCTCACATCCGTATTCAATGTGTGAATTAAAAACAAAAAAAATGCGACTGGCACAATCAAACTTAGTCTTGAGATGTCTTGAGTCTTTAGTTCAAAGTAGTGAACTCCTGTTACGAGACGGCCTCAATGTGGGACCTCTGACAGGCTACTTAATGGATCATTCAACAGCTGAGTCAGAACTTAAACCGCAGGATATTGTTCGATCTTTGCTCCTTCTGCTTCTATCTCCCCAGTGAGTTTGCTCCTTTTTGCCCAGCGGTGCTTTCAGAAAATCAGAATGACACATCTCCACATTCACTCACGTTTGATATGACTTGCGGTCTTGCGGTCCGGCTCTCCCCACTCTGTCCGTCTACACCCAGCAAAATCACCGGCGTTCGCTTGTCTCATTGGGGTGACGTCTCCACCTTCCCCGTTGCAGTGGCCGTCCTAATCCGTCCCAACGCTCCGTCCAACGCTCGCGGGAAGCTCCGGGCGCCGTGCGCTCGGCCTCCGGAAGGCGTTGCACCCCACAGCTGCTGCCGAAGTGAAAGCTCCGAGGAGCAGCCACGCGCACATGGCCACCTCGACTGGACGACGAAGTATGGTGTTGTGTGGTGAAATCGGTCGGTTTCCGATCGTGGAAGGGAGGAGAGGCCTGACAGGAGCGTTGTTTTAAACTCCCTATGCGATCCGTTCTTATTTTTGTTGTTCAATGGCCGCTCAATTCGCGAGTTCCTTTCGCAAAAGGTATTGTACATCAGCTTTTCCTTCTATATAAGTGTGACGTTTGAGGTTTTTGCCCGCTCAAATCAACACGGCACATCGGTAAGAGCAAGACACACGTCCACGCGTCTGGGATTTTTGTTGGAGGCTTATTGCGGTGTTCATCGATTTGTTGGGCGTGGGGAGCCAGAAGGGACTCTGCCAATGATAGACAAGAAACAGAAGACACATGGAAAAGAATGAAAAACATAGAATTATATAACCATTCCCACTGGCCACACTTTTCACAGGTGCAAGAGAATAACTACTGGGCTGGTATGTTGAAGACATGGAGGCAAGTGAAAAACTACAAGCCAGCACAAGTCTGGGCCACTCTACCAATTTCATAACCATGTGATGGGCTCTTCAACACACTCTATAGCTGCAGCGAACACATCAATATCTTGGGGACAAACGGGCCACCATACGGCCCGATAGGGCCATGTCTTCAGGCATAAACGCCGAGCAACCATAGCCACTGGATTGCTCCGGCTGGAAGAAGACGTAAAGCCTAGTGTAGCATCATCCAACGCGGCTGAGAAACACTAGTACGGCTACATCAAGCATTGCATCTTCTATCAAGAAAAACTGCGGAAAAAAAGTTCAAACTGGCTGAGTCTTCCAAAACATCTGGCAATCTAACATAGTCTAACCCCTTTCTACAATGGTCATGTATTGGTCATGTATGGTCATGTCTCTCCCATCTCCAGCATGCATGAGTCTGCCATATAAGTTTTTAGTTTAGTAGGAACAGCCCCTGGCTTCCCTATTTGAGCAATGAGCTACACATCTTCTTTCATCGAAATTCCTACCTTCCAATCTGCACCCAAAACCTCCGCGACCCCAATTCCTCGTCTTCGTCTTCGCCTGGCGGCGGCTGAGGCTTGGAAGGTGCTGGGCACCAAGCTTTGCGTCAAGCGCCCGAGCACCGAGACGGCAGCTCCTGGAGACGGCCGAGGTGAAGCGTGTGGTGGTGCCAGCCTCTGCTTGATGGTGCAAGTACCCCCCCCCACTTAAAGGTGATTTAGATGAAGAGCCCCCCCATCTATAGTTTAAAGTTTCAATGACCACGACCCGGTATATCAGAGTATATCATATAGTCTATAGTATCATCCACCTGCACCTCCTCATGGACCTTTTGGGCAAGTGCCCTGCAGGTGTTTGTCCATCACTGCCAAGGAACCTGTGTTGGTGCCTTCCACAAAGTGGCCGGGTGGCAGCTCTTGCATCTGCACGCGGTAGTGGCCACGAGAACCTCGGAGGGCCGAGGGCCAAGCCACACCAACCACAGGTTTCCGGGAATTGAACACTGCCCGGCTGCCCTCAGACTGAGCAAACTGGCAGACTGACTGAGCGTTCTGAACAGGGTAGGCTGCGGTTCTGTGGATTTGTCGATCACTCTGGAAGGGTCAAAACGTAGGCATAACCATTCCACTCAGTCCAAAAGCCATAACCACCCCAACTTCGAACCGTTTGCCAGAAGAACTGCAGGTTACAAGAAAGACAAGCACACACATAGAACATCATAAATTCTGAGTGTGGATCAACTCTCGCCACCTATGCTTCTTTGGGTTCTTCGGTATCATCCACATGGCCTAACTCAACGAACTCTGCCCCAGAGTTAACAGTAATCATTGGACCCTTATAATACCCAGGATATTGAGCAGCTTCCAGGAACCAGTTGATTTCTACTGCGTATACATATATTATATATGTAATATATAATATATAGTAATTTACATTGATTTACACACCCTCACTATACCTTTTGTATTGTTCGTCCATGATTTGTGTCCACAAGTATCTACAAGTCTCAACCCGTTGGATGCCAGTTGACATTCTTTGCCAAATGAATTCAAGTCAAATCCCTACACCACACGGCCCAGAAGCACTGCATGGTATCAAAAGAATGGGGCACGACAGCCAGGCTAAACCACTCCAAGCTACGCAACTGCAGGCTCCATCGGTTCACTCCGCCCAAGGGCAACACGCTTTGCGGCTGATCCACGGTCACTCGCACATAGACCTGAGATCTCCACGGTCACCCGCGGAACCGCGGGGTTCGAAGACCCGCACCAGTAGGCCGATGTACAGGCCAAAGATGTTCAATGAGTCGTGAAGCCAGGTGCTGAAAAACCTACAAAGCCTATACTATAGTGCCTGCAAATGATATGGAATGATTGCAAGGACCTCACTTAATCAACATTTGCAAATATGTGCAAATGATTAAGAACAAATGCACCTAACCTTAGGGGTGTCCACTTTCCAGTCCACCAGTCGTTTTTATAGGCCCAGGCGGAGGAGCTCTTGGACGGTATTAAAGCTTCTTGGAAAACTCAAGCAAACTGTGTCGAAAACCTGGTTCCAGGGTTCTAATCGCCCATTACCCACATGAACCTCATCTAACTCCCTTCCTAAACATAAATATAGACAAGTAGATCCCATGAATGGTGTCTTGGATGCATTTGGACACCGTTTCTATCTATTTGGACACCGGTTCTATTTATTTGGAGGCCGGTTCTACGAGTATCTATTTACTTTAAGGCTTCTTGGTTCCAAGTCGCTGCTCAAGTCACTCTCACCAACCATGGAAGCCTCACCTCCGAGCGCCCCAGCACTGCTCCCAGCCGGAATCAGCTCCCCAGCGCGTAAGCCTCAACGTTCCGCCGAACGCGTCGCCGAACGTGCGGTGTGGACCGGTGCGTGTGCCTGCCTTAGATGTCTGGAATAGGTTACCTGTACCCTTTACATCCTTTTACCCATAAAACATCTAAAAATCACGACAATGTAGGCAAATATTCCATGCATGGAGTCGTGGAGGGAAAAAACAACAGAACTGTTCCAAATCGCACTCGACCTCACGGTGGATCGCTGTTCGTGCATGGCTGGAAGCGTCACCAGCCTGTTGTTGCAAAGGAAATAGTGGATCCTGGCTACCACTGGCGAGTCAAAAGCGAGTCAACGCTAATGAATGATTTAGTTGTCTAACTGGCGTAAATAAATGTCTAAATCGCTCGCGTCTCCACAGCAGGCACCCCGGCGATATCTGCAGGTTGCACCATCAAAGTCCCACGCATTAGCCTCACCGTCACCAACGAAGCACAAGCCGTGGTCGTTCCAATGGCTGAGACCTATTTTTCAGGCTCGAAGATCTCGAAGCCATTTCCTGAACCTGTTGGGTCAGCCATGAACCCGCCCTTTCACGCTCAGCTTAAGCCATTTTAGGGCACTAACTTGCAAAACGCATCCGAAGACGTCCTACACAGAAAACGAATTCTGGCCACCTGAGGCACACGTTCCCGGCTCCCACGCCGAAGCCCCCCCGTGTCATCGTCGGACAGCTCCATCCGTCCCAACAGAACGGCTCGACCATCGACGTCCAAAGCGGTTTTTACATGGTTTGTGGGTGAAGAAAACCCGAAAAAACCAGGTGGACCAGCGAAAACGACTGAGGGCTAACCGACTTTTTACCCGGGGCTCCAGGGATTGACCCCTTACAGCCGCATCTGGATGTGTCCAAATCTATTCGAAAGAATTCAGCTGATTCATGGTGATTGGAAGCTGCTAAGCCTTGCTATACTGCGGCCTAGCAAGGCACCTTGGCCACCATGCTCGGGGAGATGGTGCCAGTCTTTGGGTTCGCACACTCCAAACGCGCATGTCGAGGGTTGAAACCAACTGAGCTTTGCGAACGATGAAAAAACACCCTCTGAGGGCGTCCTGTTGGTGCAAGAGGTGCAAAGCCATTGTAACCCACCATGGAATCTGTGACACCAAAGAGCTGCATAGAGCTGCCGAGTACGGCACCTTCATCTTGGATGACATCACTTTGGGATGGTCCAGTTTGGCAAGGAGCAGCAGTTACAAACATGGCATCTCCACTATGATTGAGTCTGGGATGGTCAAGTCCATCAAACAACTCAATGCGGGCTACAGAGTCAGGAAGAAAGGCTGGGCAATTCAAGTGCAGCAATTGGGTGATGCTGAAGAACAGGGATCAATGTATCTCAAAAACATCATCCAACACACATCCAAACAGTCCTGCCAGTTCCACCCTGTCGTCCCGCCGGGTTCTGCCTCCAACGAGCCACGGCCTTGTGGAATGGCCGAACCAAAAAGACCTGGACGAGACCAGGTGACGGGGCGAGGCCAGCGGATGGTTGCGGGGGTGAACCATGTGACGCGACTTTCAGTTTTGCAGTCTACTGGTTGAAACATGTGATTTTGGGGGGCAACAGTCAGAAACAGTTGCGTATTTGTATTGTACTTTTATTGTGGGCGGCGGCAGACCAACTGAAGTGAATGCAACTATGTCTCAGAATTCAGAATGTCAAGATATGTTGGCAGCCAGAGCTGAAATACACTCTAAATGACTCGAACTTTGTTTTTTCTCAGAATGAGGCTGCGGGGCAAAGCTGAAAGGCGGTCGGCCTCTCCATTTTCAGCCCCACCTATGATGCCATACGCGAAGAAGGAACACATTGACAAGAAACCCATTTCCAAGAGATATAGAACTGATCCGTGAATCCCTGTTTGATGTCGTTGAGGAGCTGACCCAAAGCATCAACCGAAAAACAAACATTTGTTTTCCAAAAGTGCTCGTGCTGCACTCCCAGTGCTTACTTCCAGCTCCAAAAAACGTCAAAACACCCTCTGCTGCGAAGGTCTTTGTTCCGAGAATCCATCTCACTTGCAGAGAATCCTCAAGAACTCCACTTCAAAAGAATATCCCAATTTGATTTTTATTCCCATTGTCCAAGACTTTGAACTCACGCCAGAATTGGCGCCCGTTCCCCCGAACTCAGCCCGTGGCGCAAGGTCTCCGGAGCTGTACCAGCTCCGGTGCAGCGATAGCCATGGGGCAACAGCAGCGAAAAGGTCGCATCGCCATCCTATTCGAGCGCCGTCCGGACGTGGTTTGCTGGTGGAGGTTTTAGCAGTTGATCTGGAGAGAGAACTTGTTTCATGATCCGAACACTCCATGATGTGAATATACATTTGTATGTATATTACATATAAAGTTATATATATACATATCTAGGTTGTCTGCAAAATAGTTCAACAGGACGTATAACCAATTCCCCTGATTTCCTCAAAGCCGGTGACAGATTTACTCAAAATCCCTGATGGGTTTCTCCAAAATCGGTGATGGATTTCCCCCAAAATCCGTTGCTAATTTCCTCAAACACAGAAACAATTTATTGACCAAAGCCGGAGCCAGCTTTTGTCTGCTCCAAGAAGGCCACCAGTCTTTCCCCAAAACGTATTTTCTGTTGTTGCTTCAGTTTGGGACAAGCACACACAGTCCAAAAGGATAAGAACGCCAGAAAGAAGAACTGTATTCCACAAATGCTCTCCAGATGTTCCTTCGATTTTCAATCTAAAACTATTTTCCCTCTTGTCATTTCACACTCCCTATGACTCCAGTGACCCAATTATCAGGAACCGGTTTGGAACCGAGGATGGTTCTCGGAATGCCCAGCCCCAGCAACAGCGGCAGCAGCAGCAGCCGCCGCTGCTGCCACCATTGAGGCAGGGACCTGGGCGATGGTTGGCGAATCCTCTGGCCAGTACCTACAAATAGCGGTGGTGGTGGTAGTAGTAGTAGTAGTAGGTAGAAGGAAGGTAGAAGGTAGTAGGTGGTGGTAGGTGGTAGGTCGGTAGGTGGGTAGGTAGGTAGGTGGGTAGGTAGGTAGGTAGGGTTAGGTTAGGTTAGGTTAGGTTAGGTGGGTAGGTAGGTAGGCAGAGGGGATTTGCATCACTCACAGTGCTCTAAGGCACGGACACGCAAGTTCACCAAGCAACCAACGCCAGTAAGCTATCCTGGGTCCCGGCTTCACAATCCAAGCAGTTCTCATAGAAGCCAGCATCGCGCTCCTTGAATTTGCTTAGGGAGCCCAGATAAAAGGAAATATTCACCCATAGGGCCATAGGGTACATCGCACCCTAAGCGAAACCAAGACAGCGTGCCCCTGATTCCTCACAAGAACCGCCATGAAAGATGGCTCCATTCCGCCCTGAATCACTAGATTCATTTTCACCACTCCATGGCCGCTGCGATGCCCCTGATGACCTTTGCCACCAATGGCGTTGGCCAAGCTTTCCCTGCAGCCCCCATCACTTTGGAACCAAGACAAGGAACCCAAGAAGCTCAGCGGACACCTCTTGATGACGATGATGTCCTCCCTTCAACTTGCTCCTGAGCCTCGTCATTGATCTCATACATCCACTCCTGGTTTGAACGACAAAGGCTACAACTCTACCGTTTACCCTTCCAACGGAAAAGGAGAGAAGGTCTGAATTTCTGTGAAGGCAAGCTCACAAACTTCAAAAGCTTGATTCTGCAGGCAGCCAGGTGGCACTCAAGCGCGCTGCAAAAACTGGCCCTCGCAGCTGGTCAAAGACAGTCGTGGCAATCTCCACTTGTGTCATAGACTTCTCCTTGCCAATCGCAATGATATTCTGAGCCTCCGACGGTCTGATAATGTTCAAAGTTTTAAATACGTGCTTCGAGCCTGTGGAAAGCAGGTCTTGTATCCTTAATACATTTCATTTGCCAAAATGCACCGCCATCCAGTCCTATTTCCTTTTCACATTTTAACACAGGCCCATGAGGAATCAAACCAACCTGAAAAAAGCTGTGTGCGACTTTGCAGTTTGTTTTCCCCAGATAGCGAAGCTATGGGGTTCTTACTTCGAATAACAATGAGTTGCCCGTGCGCGCTTTCGAGACAGGTTGCTGGTGCTGGGTGCCGGTGCTGGTGCTGTGAGCTGGCTGTGCACGTGGTGGAGACAGGTTGCTGGCGCCGGTGCTGGTGCTGGGTGCCGGTGCTGTGAGCTGGCTGTGCACGTGGTGGAGACAGGTTGCTGGTGCTGGTGCCGGGTGCTTGCTGTGCGTGTGGTGGAAATAGGACGCCACTGCTGGGTGCTGGCGCCGGTGCACGGGCCGTTGCTGGAGACACGGTGCCGGTTGGTAGAGACAGCGGGCGCCGGTGCCGGTGCTGTGGTGGTGGAGACTGGGCGCCGGTCCTGGGCGCTGGTTTTGCGCATGGTGGAGCCGGGTGCTGGGTCCCGGCTGCTGGCTACACCGGCGCTGGGCGCTGGTGCTGGGCGCCGTAAGCTGGCATGCCGGTGCTTGGTGCTGGTGCCCGCTTCTGACAGTGAAGTTATAAAAAGCGCCGGTTCTGACAGTGAAGGGTAACAAACCGCCGCTTGCAGCAGTGAAGGGCGACCAATGATTTGCCAGCAGTCATGGGCCGCATGAACTTATGCACGCAACATCATACGGCGTTGTCGCTTGAGCGTTCGTCTATTAGCGCTGTGGGGTATTTACACTCTTCAGGTTCTGTTTTGGCCGGCAGCTGTGTCAAGGGCTGTACTGTTTGCGCGCATACTTTTGCACGTATAATGTTCTATGCGCAACGTCAGGCTCTCAACCGACCATTGTTTCAGTATGTTTCAGCATGCTGCACACACGCACAATAGTCGCGCCGGATACTGCTTGGCCTTGGGCGAGTGAAGCCTACGGGCTTTGCCGTTTGCACGCATACTTTTGTGCGCATAAACTTGTACGCGCAAGATCATACGACCTTATCGTTCTGCAGATCGTTGCTTCAAGCATGCTACAAAGTCAAATTTGACGCTGGATACTGCTTGGCCTTGGGCCAATGACACTTATGGCCTTTGCTGTTTACGCGCATACTTCTGCGCGCATAAACTTATACGTGCAAGATCATACGTTGTTATTCCCCAAGTAGGGATAGCTATGGGGCTTCTTGCTGCAATAAGAATGAGCTGGCCGCGCGCGCTTTCGAAAGGGCATCGGTGCTGGTGCTGGTGCTGTGGTCCTGGGCGCTGGTGCTGTGAGCTGGCTGAGCGTGCGGACGGGCGGCGGCGCTGGTCGGGTGCTGGCGCCGCTGCCGGTGTTGTCAGCCGGCAAAGCGCACCGGTGCTGGTGTCAGCTGTTTGCGCGCGCTGTGGAGGCGCCGTAGCCGGCTGTGCAGGCTGCGTTCATTCTTGTTCCAGCCAGTCGCATGTCAACAGGTCGTGGGATTCTGCCTAGCTATCTGGGTCTATGCTGGTGCAATGTTGACTTGATGTTTAAGGAAACAACAAGTGCAAAAGCAAAAAAGCAAAGCCAAAGCACATCAGAACAAAAGCAATCTTTAAAACCAATGAAATCACTTGCGCAAAGCTGACTTCAATCCAACCAAGTCTTCTTCAAGGCCTTATCGCGCAGCTCTTCAGATCCATGCGGTCAAGTTCTCCTGACCGGCCATTGGTCCAAACTGCACCAAAACCAGGAACAAACAGGCCAACGCAAAACAAACTTCTACAACCATGGCAAACAGCTCACCATCCGAGGTGGGATGCGGATCAACCCCATGAATTGCCTGGAGATTGACACCAAACTAACAGAACCAGAGCTACCAATCCAGAGCTAACAACAAACATCAGAGTAGCGAGGCTTTGCGCCAGGTGACCCACACTCTTTGGCTGAAAGCAAGACTCCTCCCCAGGCATGAAGACATAGAAGGTGGTCTGCGAGCTCACATGTCCTTGAAACCTGCAGGCACGCACTGCTTCACCACCATGCCTCCACCACCTCAACTGAACTCAAGTCCAAAGGAGGACCAAACATAATGAACCCAACAATATTCAATACAGCCACCCAAATCCAATCCAAAGGATGATCAAACATACCCAAACCCAAGCCCAAAGGAAAATCAAAACAAATCTAAAACATTCTGCCATGCCAGGTAAGGGTCCGCTCTGATGTTGTCACTCCAATCCTCTTTGCTGGAATCGAGGGGTCAGAATGATGGCAAGGAGGATGTCGAGGTTCTGGCCTTGTTCCAGAAACTCAATTCACCCAGTACATCAAACTATCAAAAGGAAAAGAAACAAAATGAGCATAAATAGAAAAACTGCCGCAATCTGAAAAGACTACCAAGTCTCGGTCTCCTTGTGTCCAGCTAGCCGTGAACATATGGGTTGTAGCGATTCATGGCCAAAGATCAGAGGTGATGGATGAGTGGGTTAATGGATGTCATGCTTGCATGCTTCAAAATCTAATGCCATGGTCCTGTGATTGAGATGCCATGGTGTGATAGTTGGTTTGAACATGTTTGAAAGCCAGGCGGCTCCATGCCGAACATGATCGAGCATTCCGAATGCCATGGTGTACTTGGCTTGAAAGCATTTTTATTCCACCCCATGGTGTGATTTTTTGCTTGAAGGCCATATAAGGCCATTTGATTCCATGCCATCCCTGGTGTGTTTGGCTTGATGGCCTGGAGGCTGTGGGGCAAGGTCACATAAGTCTGCATGACGACACGGTGCCTTTCACAAGGCACCTCGGGCGGAGAGCCAAGAAAAAGGCTCATAGGAAACCACTGGTCCGGTACCCCTAGGACATCTAGGGGTCATGCATGATGGTTGTTGCTTTTTCCTGTGACCCATGGGTGTAGCATCACCCACCTTCAATGAGCCACAGCCATTGGGCTGTTTTAATGGATCACCCTCAGGAGAGTGTTTCACTCCATTCAGTCATCATCCATCTTGAGGGGCTCCTCCCCAAGAAAGACGAGGTCCAATCATCCCAGGTTCTCCCCAGTCCTCCCAACTCAAGACCTGCCACGCACCTTGATCGTTGCAGGTGGCGATGGGCTGGGGGGTGGATGGACCTGTGGAGGAAAAAAGGGACTGTTTTTGGGTCAGTACGATCTGTTGAACTATGTTAAATACAAGTCAAATATACATACGTGCACATGCATCACATGCACTTACGTTCACATCCAATGCATACATGGACTCCTGGAACCACCCGGTATCATCCGTTATCCACCCTAATCTGGATAAATATGCTTTATACATGGAGTGTCCGGGTGAT